AAGGAAGAAAGGAGGGAAGGAGGAAGAAAGGAAGAAAGAAAGAAAGAAAGAGAAGGAAAGAAGGAAGAAAGGAAGAAAGATTCAGTGTAAAATCAAAAAGAATTCTAGTTGAAAGGATATACTGGCAAACCTAAATTTATTAAATGGCCAATAAATATGCAAACTTTTTTCAACTATCAGAGAAAAATACAATGAAAAGATGGGAGTGTGTGCTAACAATAACCTCTTTACTTGCAAAGGTTGGTCAGCTCAAAATATTTATGTTGCTGTCCTATGTTCAGTATCAGACATGAATAAAATAAGATCCACAAATAGTACAGCTGCAGTGATGCCCTGTAGTCCTCTCCAGTGATCCACACTCCAGCCACCTAGCGGATGAGAGCATGGGGACCACAGAGTCTCTGCTGTTGTCCACCTGCATCCAAAATTCTCTGGAAATTTCAAGGTCTCAGGGCTACATCAAGGAGTCACCCTGGACAGGAGGGTCCTTTCCAGCCTGTGTTCAGACTTGAGTATAGGATAGGAAGAAGAGTATAATAGCACTGATCAACTTTGAACCAGTAACTTATACTTTTCTGGGCCTAACTTTCCTCATCTGTGAAATGGCAATGGTACCTACCTCACAGGAACTTGAGATTATTCCAGTGAAGTCCTTATAAATACATCTGGCACAAACTAATCACTTAACAAAAGTTAAATATAACCTTTGGTGGCATGTAAGAGAGAGAATGAAAGTGAAAATGATGGCATTCCACCAACCTACTCTTAGTTCCTTTTACACCAGCCACACATACTGGATGTCTTGAATGCCTCATAGTCCCTTTCTGCCACAGGAACTTTGCACAGGCAGTTCACTCTAAAATGTTCTCTTCCCTACCCACCAACCACTCTCTACATAGTAATACCTACTCATCCTCCGACTTATATCCAAATCAATTCAGGAGTCATTTTTATCAGGTAAGGCTTCTCTAAAACCATGGCCAGGCCAGGAGTCTTTCTCAAGTAGAATCATCTTCCTTAACTTTAGGCCACTTTCCTCAGTTTACAATTATATTATGTATTAGAGTGACTCTCTGATTTATCTCTCCTTCACTAGACTTTAAGTGCCATAGAAGCAGGGATTGTACATGCTTTTGCTCACTTTTGTGTCCCTAGTGCCTAACACAGTGCCTGGAGCACACAGGAGATTTGAGACTAAAATAATTACTTGCTCTTAAATAAACATTTCATCCTTTAGTGGATCAATGTTCTCTTTTAGGAACTATCTACTTCAAGTTATCTACTTTAGATTTTTTTTTTTAATGTTAAGTTTTCTAAGTTTTTCACTCTAGCAGCAGGCCCAAGACCACAAAATATGTTCTAAAATGTTCTAAAGCTGTTCATAAAATGTTAAAGAACACAAAATGTCTTATAAAATGTTCTAAAGATGTTCAGAAAATGCCAAAGCAAGGAAAACTTTATGTTAATATGACAATACTTATCAGACTCCCATCTTGCTGCCAGGGACACAATGAACGTTAGGTTTGAACAACTCTGCAACTAATCAGCTTTTATTAGTAACTTGAAATTAACATGGTGACAACTGCCAATTCCCAGATTATTCTCAGTTAACCATCTAAAGTGGCCTTATATAAGGTAGAAAGTTAAAAAAAAAAAAGCTCATGCTTCCTGAAATGTACAATGCCCAGGCTAAGTTCTCAAACACCCACATCACATTAAGGACTCAAATGGCAGGCCAGAGACAAGCAACAACTGATCCACGGGGGTGTGGATGAGATAATTTTCTCTGTGCTACCCTGGTACAAACTGAACTACTTAAAAACATTACATTTAATCTGGATTAGGACAAGTATTTTCCTACTAGCATTAGATAGGAGTGGTCAATACACACAAAACCTGTAATACTCACATACTTGATGTTTACCAAATAAGCATCAAATTATATCCTGGGAAAACTACTGGTTGGTATGGGTACCCATAATTGAAGTAGGAGCTGGTAAACAAGTGAGCAAAGGTGTTAAACATTTGGAGCCCCTGAGAGATATGGACTTGAAAAGGCAGTGCTAAAGATTAAGGTGATAAACTAGTCCAGTCTTCTGTTATTTTTCTTAAGTTCCCTATACTTTTTTGCCTAGAGTATTAGAACTTAACACTCCTCACTACCTCTTATTTGTATCACACCTGCATATCAATGTATCCCAATAATTTTTAAACCAACAGTTTTAACTAAACTTGCAGATGTTCAGTGAAAAGAGTCAATCAGACCTGAACCCAATTTTGGACTTATCACTTATCAACTCTTACTTAGCTTCTCTGCACCTCAGCTTCTTCAACTGTAAAATGAGAGTAGAAACCTCCTCAGAAAGATATTGTGAGGATTGGAGATTTTATACACAGCTCATTACAGTGTTTATCACAAAGTAGGCCTTAAAGAAATGGTAGCAATTGCTATTAGGAGTTGTGTGTCCTAATAATAAGAATGGTAGTAAATATAATTCATTGTCCTGTGTCAGTTCATCAAACATTCTTGGTATTAAAGAGCCTCCAACTAAAATAGAGGGATGGGATGTGTTGTAAGATTATCAGTTTTTCTTTTATACCAAACAACTAAGAGGAATTCAGTTTAATTTAGTTTGATTTTAATTGTTAGGAGGGAAGGGAGAGCTTTTCATTTCCCTCAAGGTGATGGTCAAATAGTTGTAGCAATGCCCAGGTTTAACTTTCAGTTAGTTGAAAATTAAGAGAAAAACTTTGGAAAGTAACCTATCTGCCCCTTCCCATGATGCTTCTTTTAATGTTCCTTGATATTACGAAAGCAATACTTGTTAGTCGAGGGACAGTCAAAATAACCAAAAAGGACTTACAAAGTTTTTTTTCATCTTAATTTTTTCACCAATGGGAAGAGAATGTATTTCCTAAAGCATTCTTTTAAAATAAACAGGAGACACAGAAACTTTTTTTAAAATTGCATCCAGTCTTTTCATCTCATTAAAAACAAGGCTTATTACAGAACAAAAAAGTTGACCTGTCACAGTAAAAGACCACTCATTGTGGTGGGAGTGGAGAAATGCTACACATCAACCACTTCTGGCTGCTCATATTTGGTTTAGATAACATGAAGAAATCCCTGAAATTATAAATAACTGCTACTAAGTGAAAATGGGAATGAGGGTTCTGATTAGTTTCAAAGAGAAAGCTTTAAACTCTTAGGTTATTTCTCAAACACTCAATATCCTTCCTTTATCCTGTGGGAAAAGCATAATACAGTGTAGTATTATTAAAACATTCTTCTACAACCACAGTCACACCATCCACCCACTCCACCAACTTGCAGGGGACCAAATGTCCTCCCTGGAGACCAGGGTGGGGAGTGCTGAACACTGCCTCATCCCTTGCCGGTAGGGACAGACTTCGGCCCTCTAAGATAAGGATGTGGAGAGTCCGTAATCAAATAGGCCACCCAGAGAACAGCTGCCACCCAAAGCCTGGGCAGGCAGCAGTGGAAGTGGAAAGGCAGCTAGGGTTCTGTGCCTGCGATAAAAAGTTGGTCGCTCAGCTTCTCCACGGCATGGGAGTCACAACGTATGGTAACTGAAATGCTCCCAAAAGGGGTAAGGGAGAAAATTTGGAGCAATCCTCCAGGTACCTGGGCAGAAGCTCCCAGGATGAAACTGAGACTACCCCTCGGGATAAAAGGGAACAGTCTGAGAATGACAGAGTGAACGCACGTACAATGAGGCGCTCCTCAAACTGGGGAATGGTATCTTTGTCACCAAGAGGGACATGCTGCCCCTTTCCCTACATAAGTCTTCCCGGGTGGCTCCACACGTCCAAAAGGCGGGCGCCGCGGGGCAGAGGCGGTTAGGCGCAGGCAGTGGACTGCGGGCCTGGGGGCCAAAGGCGGGGTGCTGCCTACCTGCCCAAACCCGAGGGGTGAGGGCGGGAACACCAGGGGCCCGCAAGACCGAGCCAAGACCCAGCAGGTCGGCGCCCCAGGGACCCATCTCACCTGCTATGTCTGCAGCCCCAGGGCCGCGGAGGAAGAGAATCGATGCTCGAGATGGGCCAAGCAGGGAGGAAATAACTGTCATCTCCCACCCTCAGCCCTCCTAGCCGAAGCTGCCGGCTGCCAGCTGCTGGATGCAGCAGCCCAGTCACGTTCCGAGAAAGTGAGGCGCCTGT